CCTCCAGGGCAGTTGTTGGGTGTGAGTGGACACAGACCATGAAGTGGGGCTAGACTGGAGAGGTCGAGGCAGACCTGCAGAAGGGAGCATGTTAATTGAGGGAGAACAATTCCAGGGTGTATGTGTGTGAGATGAGATAAGTCTTCGCTCTCCTAAATACCTCTTCTCAAGGTTTCTTTGAAGAATTGGTTCTGGATACAGTCAAGAGAGTAGGTTTAATGTTTAAGAAACATAGTAAAATTTACTCATAGCCCTTCAGTGAGTGACAAGCATCAGCTAAATACAGGTACAGCTGTGGCATTACAGCCTTGGGGAAAATGTAAAGAAGTATGAAACTGTGAGTTAGAATCTTGATGGTGTGTAGTGTACCCATGGAGGGAGTTAAGTGTTAAAGTGTGTGTTTGTGTAGATAAAAACATTCATAGTGTTCTCAGTCTATGAGGCCCTGGGAAGTGCCCTATCAGAAATGTAAGGAACCAATGAAAAATGGCATCATAGCAGCAGTACCAGATGATTTTAAGCACTGGAATGGCGGCTTAAGTACAGACAGTGGAGTTCATTCAATGAAATGGGACAAATGTGTTCGTGGGACATATTTTCTGGCTGCATATTTTTTTTCCTTTTTGGACAGTGTGGAGTCTTTAAGCTCTTCTCAAGCATCTAGGGGCCAGCATACTGTCGCATGCCAGGGTTGCAGATGTAAAAGCTGTAGTTCCCATCTGCAGGGAGGTCACAGTCTCATGGGAAGACCTAGGTTTAAGCAAGCAGCTATTTTTTATACCTCTTTGATAGAGGAAGAGACTGAAGCTCAGAATCTCAGAGCTGTAAGCTTTATATTCTTTTTGCTGTCCCCTGACTGCCTTTGGAATACGCCAGTATTGGAGCTGTTTGTCCCACCTCTCTCACTTCCCCAGCTTCTTGCCAAGGGCTAGTTCTTAATGCCGTGCTCTGCCTGTGTGTAGTGAGAAGTGTTGGTCTCCCTGCTATGGTCCCTGAGAAAAGATAGCCAAATCTATCTAATAATATAATAGATTATGTGAAACCAAGAATTTTAAGGTCAATTTCCTAGATCAATAAGCTAAAAAGGTATTCTCAATACATAATTGTTCCACTTATATTTGTCATATAGATAGCTTATGAAGACTCTAAGGAAGTTCACTTGGATAATGAACTTTCCATCTTTTTGTACTTTTTTTTTAGAGACAGAGTCTCACTCTGTCACTCTGAGTAGAGTGCTGTGGAGTCTTCATAGCTCATACCAACCTCAAACTCCTGGGTTCAAGTGATTGCCCTGCCTCAGCCTCCTGAGTAGCTGGGACTACAGGCACCTGCCCCTATGCCTGGCTAGTTTGAATGTTTTTAGTAGAGATGGGATCTTGGTCTTGCTCAGGCTGGTCTTGAACATCTGGGCTCAGGTAATCCACCCGTCTTGTCCTCCCAGAGTGCTAGCATTACAGGTGTGAACCACCCCTGGATGAGCTTTTCATAGTTTTATCTTGCTGTGTCCCTTGGGAAAAACAGATGATTCGGAAAGAGAACATTTCCCAGGTGAACGAAGAGCTTTTCAGGAAACCAGGGCCTGTCCCTCAGGCCTGCCAGGAAATGTCGGTTTTCGTACATGAATTTGATTGTGGGAAAATTTTAAAGCTTACACGAATGTTTGTCTTTTCTCAAGCAGATTTCCAGCACAAGTTCACGGTGCAGGCCTCCCCCACCATGGATAAAAGGAAGAGTCTTATCAACAGCCGCTCCAGTCCTCCTGCAAGCCCCACCATCATTCCTCGCCTTCGCGCCATCCAGTGTGAGACTGCTTCCCAAATTAGTTGGGGCCAGAACACACCAGGGGCACTGTCCCCTGCTCTGTCCAGCCACCGACTGGCCCCGGCTTGCTCCATCCATAACTTCTGGCACTCTTCTCGCCCTGTGTATATACGTGCACATATGTACGCACACCCTCCGCCTCCCCCGTGCTTCTCTCCATTAACTTTACTGCTGCCTCCTCACCCTTGTACTCTTAGGTCAGATACCAGCAGAGGGTTTCTGGGTCCTGGAGTGGTCTAGGGAATTACAAAGCCATGTGGAAACTGGTGTGTGATGTAGCTTCAGGATGGTACCTGGCCTGGGGACCAGGCACACTCTCTGCCATATCTGGGGAATCACTGTTTTTCTTCCATCCTTGTTTCCCAAGGAAGGATTTTTCCAAAGTATAGGTCCTGAGGAAACTTGGCAAATACTTTATAATTGGCCAAATCTGGACCAATTTTATTTTTGTTGTAGTATTTGCTGGAAAAAAAAATACATACACATACATGTGTGTGTGTATATATAGAATGAATTCATTACTCTGATTTAAAAGTAGATCTCATTTAAAACCCCTGGATTTCTGGCTTTCCTCGAAAAATTAAACCGGTGGGTTCCTTTTCTATATGGTCACTGCCGGCTGGAACTGTCAGCAGCCTCCATGTACTCCATATTTTGCCTCAGTCCCCTCAACTTCCTATTTCTTGGTAACTAGTTCACTTTGCTCTTTCTGATGAAAGCCTGGTCCCTGAGGCACTTGGGTCCCCACCCTTGCTCTAATGTGTCAAAGTCAGAAGATTGCTCCTCTTCTCCTACCTGCTGTATTTCTCTAGGCCGGTTCCTTCCCACCTTCCTCCCGCTCCTGACTTCCTTCTCTGCAGTCTTGAGCTCCTCCCTTTCTTCCTTTCCAGCCCTTTCCTCCCAGAATTTCTACACTTTCACCCTTCCTCACTCCTTTCTCTTTTTGACCCCTCCTGCCTCCTCATCCCCCCCCCATCTGTTTCCACCCAACAATGTCAGATCTGTTTGGAAATCTGGTGTCTGACTGGCCTGAGCTCTAGCTTGACATTGGACTTGTGAAAATTTTGGAAGTTTTCCCAAATTTAGTACTCTAAGGGAGCTGTAGGATTGATTGGTGCCCAAGAGCTCTATTACTTTCCCAGAAGGGTCCATGTGGGCTCAGAGTTTTAGATGACGTCTACCTTCTCTGCAGCTCCAAATGTGTGTGTGTGTGTGTGTGTGTGTGTGTGTGTGTCTAGTGGTGCACAGGCCAGTGTCAGGGTGCTGTCTGTCCATTTTCTAGGTCCCATCCAACCTTTGTCATTCACAGTGACACCCGGCGAAAGCAGCAAGACTTGGGGCAGGAGCTCAGTCATCCCGAAGGAAGAAGGGGAGGAGGAAGAGAAGAGGGCCCCAAAGAAGAAGGGCCGGACATGGGGGCCAGGGACACTTGGTCAGAAGGAGCTTGCCTCAGGAGATGAAGGGTAAGACCCAAATGAAGTGAGATGCTTTCTCCCTTACACATAGGCACACCGCTTTAAACACACATGGAAGACGTTTCTTCTCTGTACCATGCTTCAGTGCTTTCTGAGAAATCACAGGCTTCTTGATCTTTACAATAGACTTTTTTACTCTCCTGTTCCCTGGAACCTCCTAGGGCAGGGACTGGCAAACTTTTTCCATAAAAAGCCAGATGATAAGTATTTTAGGCATTGTGTTCCTAATGGCTCTGTGGGAGCTGTTTAGCACCAGATACAGATATTGAGACACAGATATTGACATGGATAGACAATGTGCAGAATCAGGGGGTCCAGCCTTTGTTCTCTTCTGCCACACATTGGAAGAATACAGTTGTCTTGGGTCACACATTAAATACACAAACAATACTGAAAGCTGATTAGCAAAAAAAAAAAAAAAAGGCCCGTGCATATTTTTCCTGATACCTGACACCACAGGTAAGCAAAAAGAGTCCTCACAACTCTGCCTGTGGCCTGTGGGCCACAGGTTGGACACCTCTGGCAAACCTTTGCCAACCCCTGGAGGTGTCTGTACTCAGAGTAGCAAAGAGCCTAAGCACTAACCAAATGTAAACGTTATACTGGAGTCTTCTACTTATCTCTGGCTCTTCCCCCCGAAAACATCCATTCAGAGGAAGGAGAAGGGAGAGCAGAAGCTAGGAGGACTCCTCTTGACTAGAGGCTTGTCCTGAAGCAGGGGCAGCAGAGTATCCCAGCTCTGGGAGTGCAGCTGGGTAACCCACTGGGACTTCTTTCGGGCCTCACTCCATAGCTGCACTGACACTTATGAGGGCCTGCTCTGGGCAGGGCACAGGGCACCCGAGTGCCTTGAATGTGCTCACTTGTGGGGCCGAGGCCTAAATGGCAACTTCACCCCTGAGTTCCGTTCTTCACAGGCCAGGCACTCGAAGTGGAGGAGTGAAGAGCTTGGATTCTGGTACCAGACTGCCTGGGAGTGAATTGCGGCTCCACCATGCCTTGCTGTGTAACCTTAGCGTTTTCTCATGTATAAAATTGGGGGTAATATTAGCACGCATCTCATGGAGTCGATGCGAGGGTTGATTAAGTTAAGTTCATCCGTGTGATGTGCGCAGCAGAGGATTTGCTGGCCCGTGGTAAGCATGTGTAAACATTAGCTATGCGGGTTCTTCCCAGCTTCTCATGCAATTGTATTTCATACTTGAAGAAGGGACAGAATAATTTATACTTAATCTGGATGTTTAGAATCTAAAACATTGTTTTCTGAGTGCAAAGAGAACCAGCCATCTCCTTCACCTTTTTAACAGACTTTCCAAAGAGTTTCTAAGATTGAACAATAGACTTACAGGTGCCCTGGCGTTGGTTCCCTTCAAATACTAAAATTTTACGTCCAAGATCAATTATTTCTTCATGTCGGATCTAAGCTAAAGGTGAAAATGACAGTTTAGTTCATAAAAGATCAACTCTCTGAAGCTCTGCAGGCTTTAGAAGTCACTAGATACTTTTGAATAGAAAATCTAGCTATATAGGGCAAAGTAGCTAAATGGCGTAAGAATTCAGCAAGGGCATAGTTGAAGGATGGCAGATTCCTCTGTTCTACTGAGTCCCATAGGAGCAAGGGCTCTCTGATTGCTCTTTGAGCCCTGGGTTAGAGTAGGGCTGAGCTTGGCCTAAGAAACTCAGTCACTCTGAGTCTATTGGTATTCCTTGACAGTAATGTGACTCTAGGGACGGTTTACCAGGCTGGCTGTGGAGTCCAGTAATTCCTATGCTTCTGCTTCATTTAGAGGTATTTTTTTGTCTTGATAGTAAATTAACTTTATGAAATAATGAACTTTGGAATTTTCCTCCTCCTTCCATAGATTTACCTTCACAAACTTTGGAAGCAGGTCAAAATGTATGACTTAATATTTTCATGATTTGTAATTCCTATCAAAGAAATAAAAGTTTATTCCATCCAGTCTCCAGGAAAGACCTGTTTAATGTCACAAATTTTTGAGAACCTCTAAATGGTAGTATTTTTCATTTTAGTGAAAATATATCCTGACCAAAAGCTGTCTTGAATTCAGCGATGTTATACTTAAATTCACATCATCATACTTTTACAAAATGGTACATATCTATCTGAAACATACACACTTGGCTGCCCAGGGCTCTTTGTCCTGCAGACTGGCAGGTCCTGAGCCTGTAGCAAATTAAGCAGGAACATCTTTTTAGGATTCTTTCATGGCGTGGGCTTTGCTGACTGGACCAGGGGGAGGCAGCTGGCAACACACCTCGAGTCCAGCCTTGGGCATTTCGGTGCAGGAGAGGCTGAGCTGATGTGCCCTCTGTTGCCTGCTACTGATTCTCTTTATTTGTTGAAGATCCCCTCAGAGGCGTGAGAAAGCTAATGGTTTAAGTACCCCATCAGAATCTCCACATTTCCACTTGGGGTGAGTCTAATCATCACCCTTTCACCAACTGCTGGTAACAATCCCACTTCCATTTCCTTGTTCTCATAGCCTACGCCCTAGAACTAAGCCTCATTCTTGCCAGGGCTGAGCTGACTTTGTTTTTGTTTTAAGCAGTACCCTCGTGCACCTTGGGAAAATTCCTGTGTTGATCTAATTTTATCTTATTCTTCACTCTGCTCACTGCTCCAACTGTTGGGTTATTCCTAGCACCTTTAGTTTTAGGGAGATTTGGGGCTATTTATTCCTTTGTCTTTAGCACTGGTTTTGATTTTGCTAATTTGGGTTTTTTTGGATCCAGAGCTGGCAGTGAAGTTATAAGATTATCATTCGGAAGTCCTGGGCTATGGGTTTAGCTGTGTGCTTCTCTCTGGCTCTGTATTTTGGTTGAAACCAGGGGTGGCTGGAACGTACTTTAATTCATTAGTGTTTCTCATAGTGCTTGAAACTAAGTTACAAGGTCAGAAGAAAAGTTGGTCCTTCTTCCTCAAGATGGGCTGGGACTCTGGGGAACCTGGGCTTTTTAGTTGAGCATTTCCTTAGCCTTAAAAAAGGAGCCACCTCTGGTCATAATCCCAATATTTCCAGTGCATCCATAGCCCACAGATTCCTCCATCCTCCCTTCACTGTCCTCTAGGGAAAAGACCAGTGCTCCCAGGCCTCTGATCCTCCCATCCTACAAGGGGGTCAGCAGGGTACCCAGACCGTATCCTCAGAGAGTTACTGGCTTGCCACAGGAGCTGATCGCAGGGATTAGAAAGCGAGCTCCTGCCCTCTTTCTCTCAACCCCCAAGACGAGCTGAGGCCCCTGCTTCACCCTGTGTACTGCCCACATAGGTCTGTCCCAAAGTGCACTGGTCGGTGCAGCTTTGTTGATTTTCCTTTTTGAAAAGTGAATGGCTTTGACAGTTGCCTAAGCATGGTGTAAGCTTGGAAGGAGAGACTGATGAGCGGGGTGCGTGGGGTGGCCTGGCTCACCTCTGCTAGCTCCGCTGCCCGGGGCTTGCCTGGCTCTGCAGTCTTGGCATCACAGCATTTCTAATGTCATGAGTGCATTTGTTCAGTGTCTGTGCACTGAACGGGTGGATCTGGGCAAGACCCCCACTGGCTGGGCAGTCCTTATTCTTTCTGTCTTTTCCTGCCAGCCGCCCACCAGATCTCTCTGCACTCCCACCGTGGCATGTGGCGGGGGTGCATCATATCACTGCCTTGCCTTCCCGGGTGCATGTGCACTTGTGTTTGTGAAGCAGCAAGAGTTGTTGACTGTGCCCCGAGGCTCTTTGGTGTGAGGAATTAGGTGGGGAGAGACATTTCCATAGGCCCATGGAGCTGAGGTCGAGTGAGGGGAGTACCGTTTCTGATGGCTTCCTTCTTCCCTCCATTTCAGCCTCAAGTCCCTGGTGGATGGCTATAAACAGTGGTCGTCCAGTGCTCCCAACCTGGGGAAGGGCCCCAGGAGTAGCCCAGCCCTGCCAGGGTTCACCAGCCTTATGGAGACAGGTAAGCCTTGGCCTCATCTTGATTTTCTCCCTGCTCCCTTGGAGGATCTCTACCCAAGTTCCTAGGGCTGTTTGAGGACCCCTGGAACTACTCAGAGAGGGGTTGTCTCCTCTTTCACTCTGCTCCTGGCCCCACACCCACCCCTCCTTAGTTTGTTCTACGCCCATATGATTTGAGTCGTCCCAAATCACAATTTCTTCTTATAGCTACCATGGAGCCTGCCCTTGGAATGCTATCCCAGGGGCCCAATAAGTCTCCTTAGGGCAGTGCAGGAAGGGTGAGGCCTTACAGGAGGCACTTCCCTCTCTGGGTCTGTTTCCTCATATCGTAATGTGGGGAGTCCTTATGATGGAGGGTAGGGTACAGGACACTGCAGCCCTCTCCTGGGGGCTCTCCCAGTGTTACCCAATGATTACTGAATGGGAGGGCATCTCCAGGCACTCTCGGCACTTTGTCTTTGTAGATTTCTGAGGCTGCAGTATGCCGATCTGTAGAGTAGATTTGCCTTCTATGTGGGGGATTCTAATCCTTCACAGGAGCCATCCTTCTAGAGACCCAGAGGCCCTTCCGATTTTAAGGTACAAAAAGATTAGGAACCAGCTCGGCGCCCATAGCTCAACAATGCAACTGCAACAAAAATATAGCCAGGCGTTGTGGCAGGCGCCCATAGTCCCAGCTACTTGAGAGGCTGAGGCAAGAGAATCACTTAAGCCCAAGAGTTTGAGGTTGCTGTGAGCTGGGATGTCACGGCACTCTACCCAGAGCAACATAGTGAGACTCTGTCTCAAAAACAAAAACATTAGGAATGTTCCTGTTGTATCCAGTGTTCAAGAAACTCACACTGTACTTTGTGTTAAGGATCTCTTGTGAAGAAAGTAGCAAATTAGCAGGTGCCATTTTCTGCAAATAGGGAAATGGGACCAGAATAAGAGTGATTTCCTTATATTGGGCACAGATGTGTGTGGGAGGATAAAGCCCAAATATCTAATTCCTTGTCCTGCTCATTAGACTATTTGACCTTTGTATCCCTGACACTGGAGCCAGGAAGCCCAGGGTTGGGGCAGGGTACCGGATTCTTATTCTTGCCACTTCCTCCCCGTTTCCCATTGCCCTTCCATTCTCATCTTCACAGAGGATGAGGACGGTGAAGGCCCACAGAGTGGAGAGAGTCGTCTACAGCATTCACCCAACCAGTCCTACCTCTGTATCCCGTTTCCTCGTGGAGAGGATGGGGAAGGCCCCTCCAGTGATGGGGCCCACGAGGAGCCTACCCCAGTCAACTCAGCCACCAGTACCCCTCAGCTGACGCCAACCAACAGCCTCAAGCGGGGCAGTCCTCACCACCGCCGCTGTGAGGTGGCTCTGCTTGGCTGCGGGGCTGTCCTCGCAGCCACAGGCCTAGGGTTTGACTTGCTGGAAGCTGGCAAATGCCAGCTGCTTCCCCTGGAGGAGCCTGAGCCACCAGCCCGGGAGGAGAAGAAGAGGCGTGAGGGTCTTTTTCAGAGGGCCAGCCGTCCTCGCCGCAGCACCAGCCCCCCATCCCGGAAGCTCTTCAAGAAGGAAGAGCCCATGCTGTTGCTAGGAGATCCCTCTGCCTCCCTCACGCTCCTCTCTCTCTCCTCCATCTCTGAGTGCAACTCCACCCGCTCCCTGCTGCGCTCCGACAGCGATGAGATCGTGGTATATGAGATGCCGGTCAGCCCAGTGGAGGCCCCACCCTTGACCCCCTGCACCCACAACCCCCTGGTCAATGTCCGAGTGGAGCGCTTCAAACGAGACCCTAACCAGTCTCTGACTCCTACCCATGTCACACTCACAGCCCCCCCGCAGCCAGGTGGTCACCGGCGGACTCCTTCTGATGGGGCCCTCAAGCCCCCAGCTCTCTTGGCCAGCAGGAGCCCCTCCAGCAATGGGTTGAGCCCCAGTCCTGGAGCAGGTGGGTCTCATTCCCTTCCTGGTTTCTCTTCTCTTTCTTTGCACCTCCCCGGGGAGTGATGATAATGGTGAGGGCCTCGTTTCCTCTTTCCATGTCTGGGTGTGAGGGGTCTGCCCTGAAGACTAACAGAAGACTCAGACCTGGGGCTCCTGTGGGATGTTCAGACCTTGGGTCCTGGGGCAGGGGGGAGCTGCATGGTACCAAAGGGCAGGAATATAGCTCTGGTTATTCCCTGGGGAGGATGCTGCAATTACCAGGAAGGAATCCTTCCCTGCACATGGGAGGGATATTTTCTGCCACGGAGCTGGGCCTTTGCCTCTCATTATAGCATTTACTCACGCACTCTCATAAAGCAAGCTCCCGCCATCATCACGCCCTTCAGCCCTCAGCCCTTCCTCGTGCCTGCCTCTTCAGACGCAGAGATGTGTTCGGCTGAGTTGCTGTCCCTGTATGTGTGCTTGGCCTCCCCACCTGATGTCTGAGGCACCTGCACCTACACACTGTCATCCTGGGTCTTTTCTGCCGCCATCCATTGCTCCCTAGAAACACTGCCAGTCCTGTAGGGAAAGAAGGGCAGTCAGTAGCCTTTTTCAGTGAGATGTGTCAGTATTGACAATTACGTTTAACTGGTTGGCTTGACCTTCCCTCCTGGACAAGTTTTTTTTATACTCAGGTATGTGACCTTTGGGAACAGATGCCCTATAGACTCACCTTTAGACGTCACTATCTAGCTCTGGTCCTGTCTCTCACATGTTTATTAAATGGATGACCAGTGAATGAGCAGACATGCCCTTAAGTCAGGGGGCCACAGACTTTTTGGTAAAGCACAAGATGGTAACTACTTTAGGCTTTGCGGGTCATAACAGTTCCTGTTATAACTACTTCACTGTGTTACTGTAGCAGGAGACTAGACTTTGGATGTAGCTGTGTTCTAAGTAAAACTTTATTGATAAGCAAAGGTACCGGCTAGTGGGTCACTTGCTGACGTGTATGTGCCTCAAGTTATTCCATCACAGCATGTGATGTCCCATATGTCCTGTTATTACCAGTGCTGGGGCCATGGCCTTCTGGTTCATTGGTGCCTCCCAGCACACTGTGTGGCACATAGGTGCTCCATAAACGTTTGCTACTTCATGCTATCCAAGTGCATTGGTGGGGAGGGAGCAGGGTGAATCTGGCCCCAGAACATGGAGCCCTCATCTGATACCTCTCCCTTTGCCTCTTGACCAGGAATATTGAAAACCCCCAGTCCCAGCCGAGACCCAGGTGAATTTCCCCGTCTTCCTGACCCCAATGTGGTCTTTCCCCCAACCCCGAGGCGCTGGAACACACAGCAGGACTCTACCTTGGAGAGACCCAAGACCCTGGAGTTTCTTCCTCGGCCACGTCCTTCTGCCAACCGGCAACGGCTGGACCCGTGGTGGTTTGTGTCCCCTAGCCACGCCCGCAGCGCCTCCCCAGCCAACAGCTCCAGCACAGAGACACCCAGCAACCTGGACTCCTGCTTTGCCAGTAGCAGCAGCACCGTGGAGGAGCGGCCTGTGCTCCCAGCTCTGCTCCCATTCCAGGCAGGGTCCCTGCCCCCTGCCGAGCGGACGCTTCTGGACCTGGATGCAGAGGGGCAGAGCCAGGACAGCACCGTGCCGCTGTGCAGAGCAGAACTGAACACACACAGGCCCGCTCCTTATGAGATCCAGCAAGAGTTCTGGTCTTAGCATAAAAGGGTTGGGGTGGCCAAGGGGGAAGCAGGAGGAGATGGGGGGAGCTGGCTGGCACAGCCCTTTCTCAGAGCTGGACCCCCTGAGATCTGGCCCTACTTCTTGCACTGATAATGCACTTTGAAGATGGAAGGGATGGGAACAGGGCCACTTCAGAGGGTGTCCTGCCCTGCAGGGCCCCTCTACCCCTGTCCACTGAGGAGGGGCTGTGGCCATCAGCTATGGCTGTGAGGGGGGGAGAGGGGTGCGTGCATGTCCCCCACCCTCCTGTCTTCCTCGCCTTTAGGGTGACCCTGCAGTCACTCAGCCAAATCTGTCTGCTGCTCCCTGTCCTCAGCCAGTTGGGTATGCCCAGAGCTATCCTGGGTTCCTCTGTCAGCCCTGAGCTCAGCCTCCCAACGTCAGTGTTGGAGGTTCTGGGATTGGTTTTGCTCCTCCATTCTCCTCCAATACCCATGAATTGGAATCTCGTTTGCTGTGAGATCTGAGCTGTTCTGTGTCCAAAGCCAGACTGATGGCATGGTGGTCCAGGGTGGGGACATGGGGGTGACAGGCTTGGCATTGCCTATCTGCACTTCCAGGAGCCCTGCTTACTCACTTGAGCCCACAGGTGAAAAAGGGAACTGCCTCAGAGAGAGCTGGTGGGCATGGGGTGTTAGGGAAAACACAGCCGGGTCGCAGGTCACAGAGTCTGTCCTCGTTCCTTTTGGAAACACTCACAGAGGGGCAGAAATGCATGCATCATTAAAGGTGTCCATCTATCTACTTGGGGTCAGGACATGGCCAGACCAGGTTCAGATACAAATACTGCTCACCCTAGGAACAGTTTCTGGGGAGACTCACTCACTGGTGCCACTTCTGAAGTCAAAGACAAAGTTCTGCCATTTGTTCTTTTTTTTGTATGAATGTTGTATGTTACTCCCTTCCCTGGGTCTTCCTTCCAATCCCCGCAGTCCATGGGCTTTCGGGTGTATGTTTGGTTAGTAGATATCTCTGCAACACACCAGAATAGCACAGGGTGGTAGGTCATGGACACGGGGGAGTTGGGGATCCCTTCTCAGCCAGGCCATCCATTTTCTGACGACCTTCAAGTGGAGCCACCAGTAGCACCTTCTGTAAGTGGATGTGCTAAAGTGATGCTGTTTATGAGGTGTGCAGCCAGCCGCTGATGTAGCCTTCAGGTCCAAGCACTGGAAACTGGCCAAGGCCTCCTCTTGTCTCTGTACGCAGGTAGACCCCTCCTGCTAGGTAGCAAGGACAATAGAGGCCAACCCTGACTTTCCTGGAATTTGTTTCCTGAACTTGAATGTTGCTTCTAAAGCTTTCTCATGTACATCACCCCTACTCTATTACTCTGAGGCTTCTTGCATTGTGTGTGAACAGTTGTCTTATTGTGGGGCTGACCCCTCAATTGGAAGTAGAGTCCTGAGGTCATGCCCCTCTCCTCTCTGAATGTTGCTTCACTGTCCTTTATCTTGGACTATTTCTCTGGTGACACTGAAGGTCAGTCTCCAGGCTCCTTGCATCTGTTGCCTGGTTGCCAGAGTGAGGAGAAGGGTGCACGGCCGGCAACAGCAATGCTTTAGGTCACTGCTCTTGCTCTGTGACTGTGATAGAAGTTCTGCCCTGGAGATCACTGAGGAGTGACCTTGGTTTTCAAGTTGCTCCTTGCTTTATGAGCCCATTAGCAGCTTGGTTCAAGGGCCTCCCTGAGTCTTGGACAGGGAGGTGCTTCTGGTTTTGTCACCCAGGGTTTTGTGATTATATCTCATTCCTCTCCTTCCCCTTGTTTAGCAAGGACAATGTGTGAGAGGTTAATTTTGCCCCCATATCCCTACTCCTCAGCTAAGAGGGGGAAAAATGTGAATCTCGTCAGCAGTGCTAGCCAACTAAGTGACTCTTCCTCATTGTTGATGGAACACAGAATAGTCTGTCCTGGGCCCTCCACAGCCCCATCCCCTGAGCCGTGAACACATCTGTCTCTCCTTGGCTCCACTAAATGGCCCTCTTGTGGGGTGCAGCCTACGGCGTGGTCTAAACCACACTGGCTCTGGACAGTGCTCTGTGGTATGGGGCAGGGATTTTTCTTCAGCTCATTTTTTCTTTTTGCCATTTTGTTAGGTTGTAGCTATCTTTGTAGGAGTGGTGGCCTTCATCTTTCACTGAATGGTGGCCACTGGCCATTGAGGGAGAGATTGAACCCAATTCTTACTCATCCTTCCAGGAGAAAGATGTGAGCAAAGACTGGGTCTTTGCTAAGGAAATAATTACGGTGAAAGAAGCAAGAACAGGGTTATTGGGAAGGTGCTGCTATGGGCAACCTTGCAGGTGGGGGAGTTGTGTCTCTCAGATCCTCTGAACCCGTCTGCTGTGGGCCCCTGCCGGCCACACCCTCTCTGTGGGGCAGGGCTGGTGGTGGGCTAAGGACCTGTGGAGTAGCAGGTCTGAGTGAGTGGCTTTCTGTCCTCTTGGGCTCCCTTGCCCTTGCTTGTGGCATGATGAGGAGCCGGCCCTTGAGCTGTAGATGGGCACTGGTGTGGCAGTCGCCTGCCTCTCCTCCACTTCCTTCTCTTCCCTCCCTTTCCTGAGAGACAGGTTCTTTCTGCTCTTGGCAGGTTTTCACCACTTAAAAGGCCTGATAGGAGCAGATAATGCTCTCAGCCCCCACCCCTGCGATGCTTCAGCTCCTACTGTTGATTCAGATTATCCTCCGTCTACCCCCTTAGGGACCCACGAGGGTGAGTAGATGTCTCAGTTATCCTTATGTTATTTCCAAGAAGCTTTGGCAGGTGCTCTTACATGGCATCCTTTGGCATCTTTAGAATCGGATAGTAGTAATAACAATAATAATACCAATGATGTCTTACATTTGGACTACTCAGAAGAGTGCTGACTTTGCCCTCTGACCTTTACAAAATGACATCATTTCCCTTCTGCACTTGGTGTGCTTGCTGTTAGGAAAGGGCTAATGCTTAAACATGAAGATTCAAATGAAGTTAGAAGTTAAAGAGCTCTTTGGACTCCTTGCTGAGTTGGGCTCTCAGGCACTGACACTTGAACAAGTTCACTCTCTTCCCTATCCCACTCCGGCTGGGTGACCCCAGGCTTGTCTCCCAGCCCCTCTCAAATTTCCTTCCTTTAAAAGTGATCATCACGTGCTTCACAAAGGCAATGGCTGTGCACCAGAGAAGCACAGTGGCTCCACCAGCTCCTGGAGGAAGCTCCCTCATGTCTGCAGGATGAATTCCCGGAGTGTGGTTCTCACCATCCTCACCCCGAGGGGCCACGCCTTCTGTTTCATGCTTTGGCTTCTGGAAGAGGAGTGATTTGGGAGTTGGCTTAGCATGACTAATGGGGGCCGTGGTACAGGTTCCTCTGTGACAGTTGTCCTCACCATTTGTGTCTTACAGAGGAGGAAATGCAGATGGGAAGGTTGGTGGCAGCATCAGAATGACGGTTGGCTATCTCTGATTTCTTGGGGTCATCCCCAGATTCTGATTTGTTAGAGCCTGGATCAGGCCAATTCCTGATCTTTGGAAAAGGGTCCCTTTGCCCCTGAGACATGTGTCATGTGTGGAGCGCCTCAGAAAGCTCCCTTTCCTGCAGCCACTACTGCTCAGGGACTCAAGGAAACACTGTGAGGTGGGCCTGGGTTTTGTCATCACTCTTGGCTTCATGGTCCCCACATTGGAGTCCCCTTCCTTCTTCCCTCACCCCCACAAAGGAGACACCTCCTAAGCATTCTTACTCCTCTGGCTTTTAACAAAGCAAAGAGCAGTGGGTGCTGAAGACTGGTGGCTGTGGATGGTGCACCTCGGGGTTGTAGCCAGTATTCGACTGTTTCCATCGTGTGTTTGTTTGAGCCTGTGCCTTTGAGTCACATGCATGAAAGCCCAGTCAGCAGGTCACAAGCATTCATTGCCTTATGCAGGATTTGGAGGGAGAAGCAGGTGCTGCCATGTCCGGAGTTTCAGGCTTTTCTTAGGTTTCCACTTACTGTTTGTGAGAATTTGCACACGTTTTTCCTGCTCTCTGGACCTCAGAAGCCCATCTAGGAACAATGCTACCTACCTACCTTTCTATCTGAAGCCCTTTTAGCTTTAAAATGTATGGTCCTAGAGCCCCCAGTCCAGCACTGATAAGCATCACCTTGCTGGATCATTGCCCTTTGTAGAGAAATTGTGTGTGTAAATATATTTATGGACTTAGGTCAGTTTCACATGGTTCAACCTAATACACCATCTGCCTCTCTCCTTGGCTTCAGGTCACCAGAATGACTTCTGGTGAAACTATGATATTGTTAGAAACAAATTCCCAAATGCCTCTCTTCTTTCAAACAAATCAATGTTTTCCTAGATCGGGGGGGGGGGGGGGGAAAAAAAAACAGTGAAAAACAAAAAACTTAACTGCTTACTTCTGGGGAGGATCTCACCCTCACACTTTTCCCTGGCACTGCTACCCTAGGCACTCCCCACCTCAGGTGCTGGTGTTGGAAGCCTGGAGGTAGAAACTGAAATCCTGGCCTATTAAGGCTAATTAACAGGGCATAGGTGTCTAATTATAATGCATGACCCAGCCATGGACTTCTGGTTGGCTGCACAGGCCAGGGGAGTCTCCCACTGACTTCCTCTCCCACTGTTGACTGAGTGTTAGCCCTGGTGAGATACTGGCCGCCAGCCCCACCCCCTCTGTTCTTTTCTTTGGTCGCAGAAAGCCCTGGCATTTGCTCTTGAGAATGTTAGGCTACTCTTGATCTGGAGCCGGTAGGACTGGTCCTTCCTGATTCTCACAGCCTGTGGTCTCTGTGTTCCCTGCATCCCTGCAGGGAGCCTCCTTAGGCCTTGAGCTGAAAGGGAGAAGCCTCAGGGTCCACATGGTCATTGGAGCTGACACTCTCCCACACCTCTCTCTCTTTAACCCTTGCCCCATAGACCGGCTTTTCCTTGGACTCATCTCCCTTCCCGTCTGGTCTGACCTCTCCCTGGCAAGTACCCACCGCTAGTTTTACTAGACGGATTGGCAGATGTGGACATGACAGCTAGATACATTATCTCAGGATGGGACACTAGACACAATTCCAGGGCTTCAAAGAACAGGCTTTTCCTACTGGTCTGTGTGGAGTGGTCATCTGGGAATTCTGAACCTGGAGGTCACAACAGTCAGAAGAGGAATCCTGGTCAGTGACATGTGTTACTTTGCTCTGCACTCACTGAAGTCCAAGGCCAGGTTTCAGAAGTGGTATGTTGCCATGTTCCTGAAATCCTAGCAGCCTAGCTAGACACCTGCCCAGACAGAGCCTGATTTTACTTAGTAAAGTTTTGATACCTGGATTTTTTTCATTAATTCTGATTTTTAAAAATACTACACTGAACTATGATTTTTCTTGACTAGTCAGTTTTGGGGCACCCCCTTGAATTTTGCAGCTAAGGCAAGAGTGTCTCATTCACCTCAGCCTTGCCTCAGCTCTGCCTG